AAAAAAAAAAAAAAAAAAAGAAAAAAAGAAAAATATCCGAAAAATATCCACTCCCTCCATGGGTACTGTCTCGAATTCTGTTTTGTTTGTTTGTTTTCTGAGACATGGTCTCGCTGTCACCCAGGCTGGAGTACAGTGGAGTGATCACAGCTCACTGCAGCCTCAATCTCCTAGGCTCAAGTGATCGTCCTACCTCAGCCTCCCAAGTAGTTGGGACTACAGGCGCACACCACTGATTTTTAAATTTATTTTTAGAGACGGGGTCTTCCTGTGTTGCTCAGGCTAATCTCAAACTCTTGGCCTCGAGTGATCCTCTCACCTTCGCCTCCCAAAACGCTGGGATAACAAGGGTGACTCAATGCACCTGGCCCAAATTCTATGTGTTAAATCATGCCAGGCTCCTCAGGAACCCACAGCTAGGGCGGAATCTGATGTCCTTCAAAAATCATCCCATTCAAGGGCCATCAGCCATCAACTAGATAATCTGTGCTTAGGGCAGGGCCAAGTCATGGCAGGGGCTCAAATACGTTATTTTCTTCCCCAGGTTCAATTGTCTCCCCTACCCCATACTCCCTGTCATTTTCAAAATGATAATTATCATTTATGAAGTCCTCATAGCACAGATAAGAGCTAAAGTTCTGAAATCTGATGTCCTGGGTTCAAATCCCAGCTCTGCCACTTACTGGCTGTGTGACCTCAGCAAGTTACTTAACCTCTCTGTGCTTTAGTGTCCTCATTTGTGTAATGGGGTAATAGTACTAACACCTCGGGTAATAGTACTAACACTCACCTCATGAGGTGTTAGTACTATTACCCCATTACACAAATGAGGTGTTGATAATTCTAAAGGGGCTTCACATGGTGAACAGCACATGGTAAGTGCTCAAGAAACGCCAGCTGGCACTATCACACCTGTTTGTACTTTTACATGCAGTTTAGTTAGAAGAAGACGTTCTGCTGCTACAGAGTCTAGAAACTTCCGAGGGAGCCAACAAGGAGGGATAGGAAGAGTGAGAGACCTCCATAGTGAGAGGAGAGGGGACAGATGTTCAAACCCAGGTCCCCAGCCCAACAGGTCCACCCTCCTCCTCCAGCAAGCCTCACCCATTGATGCACAGAGACACCCACCCCCTGGCGGAGAAACAGCAGAGCTGCACCTCACTGCAGATCCTGGGGGCGACGGTGGGAAGGAGCCAAGGAAAGAGAACTGCTGGAAACCCCCGTGTTCTGGGGAGTGAGGACAGATGTGTGGGTGGGTGGAGGGGAGATGGCAGAGAGATGTCGGGGAGAGATGCATGAAAAGAGGGGAAGGAAAGGAGGTGGCAGGAAGAAAGAGAGGAAAGGGTTATTAGTCAACAGCACAGAGCAGAGCAAAGCAAGAGGGAAAACCAGAATGTTGGCCATAAACTTTTGAATTCCTATTCATCTTTGCATCCACACACTGTTGGCCAAAAGGACGAATGTCCTCTGTAAGAATTCAGTGCAAAGAATAAAAAATCTCTCCCTCTAGAGGTTGTATCTGTTTTAATAGGTAGCCCTTTTTGCTCTGGCTGCCAGGAAGCTCAAGAATGAACGTGATGCTCCCAGGCCACTTGTTGTTTTTGCCTCTCAGAGGAGAGCTAATCTCATTTACCTTTTTCCCTGGGCTGTCAGGATGATGGGCATACAATTCTGGGCTCAAAGCAGCTCTAGTATAGGTTGGGCAAAAATGGCCCCGATTCCCCACTTTTCTCTGTATTGACACCCTTTGCCTGCGTCTTGCAGCTCCTTGAATCTGGGAAGACCTCGTGACTGCCTTTGTTTAGGAGGATTATGAAGGAAGTGACATTATGGCAGCTCCCCAGCTACTTGGGAGGCTGAGCCAGCAGGTTTTGCAGCTTCCACTTTTTCTCTTGGAACCCTCTGAGAGTCAGGCACACACAGAGTGTGACAAATGAGGGCTCACTGTAGAGAATCAGGTGTTTATGAAGAGGGCACAAATATTTCAAAAGGGCAGCAGATTTTCAGCTGGGAGATGATTCTCATAGCGTAATCTGGTTCTGTTCCTGAACATCAAACCCTGCTTTCCAATCTCCTGTGTAAATACTACATGAGACACAAACATAAAATCTATCTTTCTAGCATCAGCTCACAAGATCAAGACCCTCCGTGCTCTTTTGCTCTGTGAGTGTGTTTTGGGAACCACTCGTCTTGCTCATTTGGGAGCCACTCAATTTGCCAAATTGCATGGACTGGTATTTCTACAGCTGCCTTTTCACTTCAATAAAAGAAAAAGGCAAACTGACAAATGCCAGAAAGTTGTAACCTGGAAAAAACAGGACGCTAGTTCTGCCAGCTTTCTAAAACCATTTCTCAAACCTCCTTTAAGGATGGGCATGGGGATGGAGGCAGTGGCAGAAAAGGCATGGAAAAGGTCAGAATCCTACCACAGGGCATTTGGCATCTCTGCCTATGACCCCTAGAAGTGTCAATCGAAAAAGACAGTCAAACTCATGGGGGCCTTTTTGGGGGAAGGAAAGCCCTCCAAAACTGTATCTCAGTCTGTTCTTTCTTTCTTCCTCCCTGGGGGCTTGAAGGGAACTTTGTAAGAAAACAAAGAAAGCAAAGCCTAAAAGTTGACTGACCTACAAAACATCATCATTCTGTGTTCTCTGGTTGTTATAAATTATTTTTCAGTAGAATTTTTTTCTTTTTTTTTTTTGAGACAGAGTCTCATCACCCAGGCTGGATTGTAGTGGCACAATCTTGGCTCACTGCAACCTCCACCTCCCAGGTTCAAGTGATTCTCCTGCCTCAGCCTCCCAAGTAGCTGAGACTACAGGCATGTGCCACCACATCTGGCTAATTTTGTACTTTTAGTAGAGATGGGGTTTCACCATGTTGAAGCCCCATCTCTGGGGCTGGTCTTGAACTCCTGACCTCAAGTGATCCGCCCACCTTGGCCTCCCAAAGTGCTGGATTACAGGCATAAGCCACCATGCCTGGCCAAATCTCTTAATTTTTTAGAGAACACAGGCCATCTACAAATAATAAGTTTACCTCTTCCTTTTTGACTTTCATATTTTTTTCTGGTCTGATTGCATAGGCTAGTATTGCTAAAAAAAAAAAAAAAGTGATGTTTAACAGCAGTGTTAGTGGGTATCTTTGTCTTGTTTCTGATTAAGGGGGAGTGTTTTATCTTTGAGAAGGACGCTGGCTTATCAATCAAATCAGTCAATCTATGGATCCATCCATCACTGATTTGAAATACTATTTGTGACATGGGCTGTTCTGGGTCTGAGCAGAAAACTCAGGTTCACACCTCAGCCTCTGAAACAAAAGTGCTCACACTATGGGTTGGGAGAATGGCTGCACAGACCACCAGGGCCAGAGCTGGGGAAGCAGGTCCTCACCATCTTTCCAGATCTCTGCCGTCAGCCGGTCTGTGCTCTGGTGAAGCAGGGCTGCGACATTGTCATTCAGAGGGTCCATGTTTTTCATCAGCCACTCGTTGGCCTTGTAGTCGACCTGAATGAAGTCAGGTAGAGGAGGGCAATGACTTGCAGGCTGAGACATTCTCTGGATTTCCTAAGGAGCCTTCCAGAAGCCCTGAGACTCCCAGGTCTGGAGCTCACCATGGACAAGAGAGCACCAGTGCCACCTTGTGTCCATATTCTGAACTGCACCCCACCAGCATGGCCCCCTCTCTCTCCTTCCTCTCTATGCCCCCTGCCATAGAGACCTCTGTGACCTCCACCGCCACCACTTTCTTCCTCGTTCCCCTCCAGCCACCCTGGCCTCCGCATTGCTCCTTAAACACACGAGCTTACTCCCACCTCGGGGTTTTACCCCTGCAGTTCCTGCCACCTGGGGTTCTGTCTCTGGATTTCACATGACTGGCTCCTTCTGGGTACTCAGGGCTTTGTGCTGGGGCTCCATAGAGTCACGATCTTGGCCACTACAATTCTCTGCATATGTGCCCCCCACCAGACAGCGGCCCCCCGAGGGCAGGGCCCAGATCTGACTCACGGCCTAGCAGAGGGCTGGGTATAAGGGGAGTTCTGGAGTATGTCTGGGGAAGAAACTGAGGGCTACACACAGAACACGTGGAATCTCCTGCCTCCTAGCCATTGTCTATGCTGTTCCCTCCGCCTGGACAGCCCTTTCCACCCTTCGCCCATCCTCTGGGGCTGCCTGGTCCACATCATCAAAACCAGGGATCAGTAAACTATGGCTCACGGGCAAAGTCTAGCCTGCCACCTCTTTTTGCAAATACTTTTATTGGAACAGGCCAGGCGCAGTGGCTCACGCCTGTAATCCCAGCACTTTGGGAGGCCTACGCGAGTGGATCAACTAAGGTTAGGAGTTCGAGAGCAGCCTGGCCAACATGGTGAAACCCCATCTCTACTAAAAATACAAAAATTAGCCGGGCCTGGTGGCAGGCGCCTGTAATCCCAGCTACTGGGGAGGCTGAGGCAGGAGAATTGCTTGAACCCGGTAGGTGGAGGTTGCAGTGAGCCGAGATCGCGCCCCTGCACTCCAGCCTGGGCAACAGAGCGAGACTCTTTGTCTCAAAAAAAAAAAAAAAAAAGTTTTATTGGAATAGAACCTTCATTTATGTCTTCATAGTCAAACTCATGGGGGCCTTTTGGGGGGCAGGAAAGCCTTCCAGACTGTATCTCACTCTGTTTTTCCTTTCTTTTTCCTTGGGGACTTGAAGATACTTATGTATTATCTGTGGTTCTTTTTGTGTGACCACAGCAGAATTGTGTAGCTGTGACAGAGACCGTCTGGCCTACAAAGCTGAAACTATTTACTATCGGACCCTTTACAGAAAATGTTTGCTGGCCCTTGGCTGAGATTTGAGATTGAGCATATTTTCTTCTGTGAAGCTTTCCCAGATATTTTTCTTCTGGGCTCTGACACTACCCTCAGCTGCCTCCATTCAAACACCTATTGACCTTATATCCTGATGGTCTGTATTTGCCTCCCTCCCAGATAGGGATCTTTGTGAGGAGAGAAACCACGTTTGATCTGTGTATCCAGCTTTGCTCGGCACCGAGCTGGGCACACAAATGGCAGCCCGCACACGTCTGCTGAATAAGTGGATAAAATGCACATAGATCGCCTCCCGATGAACTCCTACCCATCCCTCAAAACCCACTGCAAATATCACCTCTTTGAGGAAGTTTTTGGTGATCCCATCGGACAGAGTCCTTGCTCCTCCCTGGGCTCTCCTAACCCCTGCTCTGTTTGTCTGGACCTCAGGAGGACCCGGTTTTCCCTCTAGACCCTCCCCCCATCTGTAGCCAGTGGAGACCTCTTGATCCCCACTCCCACTCACATGCCCCAAGGCTGGCCCCAGCCCCTACCTTGCCCGCGTAGTGCAGAACACTGAAGTCGGCCTGGTCCCGCAGTTGCCTCGGCCGCTGGAACTTGGGGTGGCCGCCCTGCTCCTGGGCTACCTTCTCCACAAACGACTTGTCTGTGGCCTTTGGGAACCAGCACTCCTCGTCCAGCAGGGCCAGGAGCCCAGGGGGGTTGGCCTGGCCATCGACAGCAGGGGGAGAGTAAGTCAGATCCCCAAATATTGAATACTCAAGTGGCTGCTGATTTTTAGCTCTTAGAAGTCACACTTGGCCGGGCGCGGTGGCTCACGCCTGTAATCCCAGCACTTTGGGAGGCCGAGACGGGCGGATCACGAGGTCAGGAGATCGAGACCATCCT